ATTCATTCTTCATTTTGATGCACAAGGAAACTTTACAAATAATAAATGCGTTCTCTTCATTAATTTTCAGTCTGAAACTTTCCATATCCTTTTTTACTTGCTTATGTAGAGAGCATCCAAATTATTTCCCTTGGTTTCAGTGTTTTACAGTTTTATTTACATCTGATTCACAGATCATGTAGTTTCCACTGAAATGTACATTTAAATACTTTTTAATATACAAACAAGTTTGTTCAATCATCAACATAATCAATTTTGGAACATTTTCATCACCTCAAATTGAAATTCTAATCTGCTTCTATATTACTTCCAACCTCCTCACCTTAACCTGCCACTGATGTACTTTTAATTTGTGTAGATTTCTCTACTTAGTCAATATCTATAGATAAAAATATTCACTGTAACCTTCAGTACTAGCGTTTTCTGCTTAGTCATAGTGTTCACTTTGTAATTTATTTAAGAGCTACATTTCTTTTTATTGCTCAGTATTCCATTGCATGGATATAAGACTCTTATTTACGCATATATTAGTAGATGGCCCTTTATACTGCTCTGACATTTTGTTTTATCATAACTGTTGTGTACACTTATATACAAATTTTTGTGTTGACATGGATGTTCTATTGGAATTATAATGGTTGATTCAACTAGTGACGCTATGTTTAATATTTTGAATAACTGTCAGACATTTTATCCCAAGCATTGCACTAGTTTGCATTTCCACTAACAATGCATGTGGTTTTATTTTCTTACATCTTTGGTAATGTTGGTTTTTATCATTTTCGTATTCATCCCTGAGGAAGTGAAATAGTATTGTGGTTTTGATTTGTATTTTCATAATGGCTAATGATGTCAAACATCTTTTCATTTCTTTTTGGTCTTTTAAAGGAATACAGGCTACTTCAGATGAGTTGTATATTGTGATTGTAATTTCAGCATAGCAATTAATGTATAGTGAGGTAAGAAAAAAAAATCCTGTAAGCAGATCTTCTGCCCACCTGTGTCAACACAGATGTCACTTTTTCTTTCCTTTTCCTAATAAACCCATTTTTCAAATGTAGACTTAAAAAACCTACAAAGCATGATGACATATTTTAAATGTCCAGCAGTTAAATTTTGCAAACAGATTTATATTGAATCTACCACTCAAATTAATTGTCCAGCAATTAAATTTAACAAACATATTTATATTGGATTTACCACATGATAACATGTGTGGAATATACAGAAACAAAACTGATAGCAAAACAGAAACCAACAAGTATAGAGAACAGATCGATAGTTGTCAGGAGTATGGGTTTGGGCTTGAGTCAAGTGAGTTACTTACAAATGACTCACTATACAGTGATGGGTGAAACAAGACTTTTGTTAATGATCACAACGCGGTATAGACAGATGTCAAATTTAACATTGTATATCTGACGTATGTAATTTTGTAAACCATTATAGCTTTAGTGAAAAATTAGTAATAGTTGCATAATGAAAAGATGGTAGTTATCACATAGATCATTGATGAAAGTATTGCCTAAATGAAGAAATATTAGAAAATCCTTGTATTAATTAGCAAAATAATATTCAAATAAGCAGTCCTGAAAACTGACCTGTGAAGGCAAAAATTATAATAGCAAATCAGATTTCAGACAATGCCTTTCTGTAAAGAATTGGAATAGCGATGTACAGGCAGACACTTTACTTTCTAATAATCTCATGTCTTGTAGTGATAGAACCTGAAGCTCTAACTGAACAGCTAATATGCCCACTAACCTGTCTTAATCAAGTATCAGCTGTCATAAATGAATCCTCACTGGGTAGAAAATTAAAGCCAATACATAAATGAATTTCTTTCAAAAATGTCCTTTATGTATTGTCCCAGCACAGAATCTTTTGGAATGTCATATGAGACAGAGTGACTTTGGTCCTCTGATGTCAGTATTTGAGATAAATGAATTTTATGCATTATTACAGAGCTGATGCCAAGTCTGGAAATGGCTTATAATTTCATAGGGAATCACTAACCCTCTCAAATACTATTTTTCTATAACCTCTATTAATATTTAAGGCAATTTCTATTAATATTTTCAGATAACATTTAAATGTCAACATTTTACTTGTCACTCAAACACACCAATAATTTTTCACAAGTTAAAAAACACATAATTTCAATAGGTAATAACAAGAGGACATGTTTCTTTTCAAGAGAGTTAAATTTAACTTTCATTATTACAAAAGTGATAGTTTTTTGTATGGGAAAATATATTTACATTTCACCTTCAACATTAAAATGAGGGATTTGGGGTTTCATTTTTGAGACAGTACAAATGTATTACCATAGAGCCTGGGGATGTGAACACTCATAAAATTAATATGAGAATTAAAAGTTTGCTTTAAAAAATCTTAACTACACAAGAAATAATTTCTGCAGCTGGAATCATTTTTTGCTGGAAAACAGAGGAAATAATGTTGCTGACTTTTGCATAGTCATGGGGTCTTTTTTGGTCACATTTAGCCTCAATGTGATTGCTCTGTTTGAAATATCCAGAGACATCTGTCAATATTTTTCCAACTCGACTGGATGAGTGAGACTGTAAATAGGAAAGACTGAGAGCAGATAGGACTATAGAAACAGGTGCTAAAATTAGAAATGATGCTGAGCAAGATGAAAATGTGACTTCTTATCACTTAAAATATAAAGATAAAGCTTTGTACACTGGTCCATAACTCAGAAGAGTATGGCCAGGGCATGAAAACATACTTGTGTCATTCATGCAAAAAAGACCCCTTAGTGAGAACAGGTGATGCAGAGGGAAGGGGAGATTTATTAAAATTTGCATATCCTGTTAGAGACAGATATCTGGGGTTTGCCTGTATGTGGCTTTCCAGTACTGAATTTCCAGGGTAGGAAGGATGGCATATAGATTAAAAGTGATCATCAGTGTAAGCGTGGGTAGGAGTATCACTGCCAAATTATGGTGTATTGAGTTGGAAAGAGACCAGAAGAGATCAGTGACTAGGACAGAACAGACACCTACTGGGGAGAGAGGATTTTTTTTAAAAGATTTATCCATTTAGGGCCCTCCCGAAGCCTTTCACCGCCCCTGAGCCTCTGGCCTGTACCCCAGGTCTGTATGCACAAATAAATCTTTAAAAAAAAAAAAGGTTTATCCATTTATGCATACAGGCCTGGGTTATAGGCCACACATGCAGGGGTGGTGGGAGCATTCACTAGAGACAGAGTGGGGAGCAGAACAGGCAGATTGACTAAGTACACTGCTGAGGGGAGCAGCAGGGTTGACAGGAGAGGTCTGCTGTGCCATGTGGGTCAGCTCATGCTGGGGATCCAACCTAAGCTGAATTGGCTGTGCCTTGCTTCTCAGTCTGCACTTTAGCCCTTTGAGCCACCAGGAAAGACCCAGAGAGAGGATCTTACAACCCAGACTAAGAGGTCGAAAGAACTGGGAGGAAAATCAGGAGAGTGGGCCTGGCATCACAGACTTGGGAAGTCAGTATATAAGGAAGGAAGAGCATTCAGTAGGAGTCACTGATGAATAGAGGTGCAATAAGGACCAAAGAGTAACCAGTTAGTGATTAAACTAAACCAAAGAGTAAACATTTAGTAGTGTGTTACCTTGGACAGCAAACTGTCCATTGGCTTTTGATTTACTGTGCTGAATTTTACTTCTGTGAATTCTTGCTTCCCCCTTTCTTAATTAAGGTAGTATTTTGGCAGCACTGTATATCATAAAACCTCACATTATTATTTTTTAAGCCATGCTTGAAAGCTAGAGAACATATGTTTGGCCTTGAATCCTGATCTGAGGCACATAATTCATCCCTAGTATATTTTGTTTTCAAAGAATGTAAGTTGTACATAAGACAAGCAGCTATTTTGTCTATATGAAATTGCATACCTACTTAAAATTAAATACAGTAGCAGTGAGATCATGTACTATTAATTTCACATTTCAAAAAATGTTTCGAAGTAGTCTTGATGCTATTATAGTTAAGGACAATAATTTTAATACAAATTGCACACATGCTTTTCAATTTATTCGAATTCTTCATATGGAAAATTAAGCTATTACATAGACACATGATAGCATACACATTCTAAATATATGGCATACAATATTTTATTGAGGCACTCAAAAAAAAAGAGTCAATTCCATAATAAAAAGTATATGTTTCAAAAGAATGACAGGTCTTAGAAGTTCAGTGTATTTCCTGAATGTACAAATAATTCAGTGAATAAACTTTATCTTTCAGTAGTTTGCTATAAAAATAGAACGAATTAAGCAAACAATTTTAGGGATTGTAATTATGTTCCACACAAGAATTCTTATTTGAATTGTAATCTACAGATTATTGAATTAGAAGCAATTCCTTGACTTGGGTCAATATTCATGGAGTAAGTAATTAATCACTCCATGTCGTTTCCATCGACTAAGAATGACCATGCTATGGTTTTAGTAATGTGTCTGTGATTCATGTGGGTTTATACTCATGAGCAGTACCGCTGCATTTGCTTGAGAATAACAACTATAAGTTCCTCTTGAATACTTTCTTATACATCATAATATATTTTCCTTACATGGTGAAATATAAAGTTCTGTATGAATATCATTTTCGCTGGTAGATTTCAGCCAGAATCAAAAGGGTATTGTTGTTAAATTTGCAAGAACATAATTGGATACCAGAAAACCATTTCTAGAACATGCAAGCTTTTTTAAAAGCAAAGAGCATAATAAGGTAAAGAGGTTGACAAACATGTGCCTAAGTTTTTCCTAAATGTCATTGTCCTTACAAGCAAGGAGACAGGACAACATGGATAAACTAAAAACAGTAACTCATCAATATAACAATACTGCTTCTTTCAAAAATAAAACGTGTACAGGTAAGAATTTCTTTACATGTATTTTGCATATGACAATTGCCATACGTATCATCACCATTTTGCACAAAACAAGCATAAATCTTTCTTTTTCCTGAATCAATGCAAACAGAGCCCCGATGGCCGTGTTGAAGTCAAAGGGCAGCGCGGAAGCTCATCACTGCATATTAAAGATGTGAAGTTGACAGATTCGGGGAGATATGACTGTGACGCAGCAAGTAGAATTGGAGGGCACCAAAAGAGCATGTACCTTGATATAGAATGTAAGTTAATTTCATTTTGAATGTTTATGAACGCTACCCCTCTTGCTTTAGAAAATATAAATCTTTGTAAGATGATCAAAATACTCATAGTTCATTCTGCAGTATTTAAAACATAGCTTTGGAATGAATGTAGACAGAATCAGTTATTAGGGACATCTAGTGGAAGTTTTGGGGCATTTCAGTGTTCCATATTTAATGGCCTTGATGTTTGTTATGAACACTGAAATTTTGTTTTGCAGCATTTAATTCAAAACAGAAGCTGGACTCATTTTCTTTAAGATTTTATTTATTTTTAATAGAAGAACTGGGGTGTAGACCAGAGGTGCAGGGGGTGAGAGATTTGCCAGATACTGAGTGGGGAACAGAACAGGTGGATCTACTGAAATACACTGCTAAGGGGAGCAGCGGGCGAGACAGGAGAGGTCTGCTGTGCCATGTGGGTCAGCTCCATGGCTAGGGATTGAACTCATGATGTAGTGGTGATAGCACTGAGACAAAATCCCTGTGCCACAAGAGAGACCCCTATATAGTATTTTAAAAAACAGTATCTAGAATTTTATTGTTCTCTCAAAGACAGATTGCTAAGAAAGGATAGTTGGTTTTGGTCACAGATGTAGTTCTCTTTTGCTTTAAAAGTTTAAATATTCATTCTGCTTAATACTTCTAGGATACATATTAAGAGTAAATCTTACCATGAAATTATATAGTCTTTTATTTAGACAGAAAGGAACTTGTTCTCCCCAATGATGCTTTGAGCATTCTTTGAATACTCTGAAATTGCTGCAGCTAGATTGATTAGAGGTTCAATAACAAATATATCTCAATAAAATATTTTTTTTCACATTTACTTTCAAATTAAATACATCTTTAAAAAAAAACTAGATTTAATGCCTCATTGAGCTCTTGGTCAAGTTTTTCTTTTTTCAAAATTAAATATTTAACTATTCAAATTATAGTAAATAATTAGAAAGGTATATGTATTATTTTACAAGTACTGATGTATGATTGGAGTAGTATAAAATGTCCGTGTACAAAGGGAAAGATAGGATCACTTTGACATATGTACACACCAAAATATTGCATAATTAAGACAAACATTTCCATCACTGCAAAGTATTAGCTCAAGATACTTTGTATTGTCTTCTACCTTTTACCTTCATTCCCAGGCAAACTGTCTACTTTTTGTAACTATCATTACGTTTTTATATCAGAATCTTATATCCATACAGAATGCGAAGTAGTATTTTTATTTTCACTAGCTCTTGCAGTCTGTAATTATTAATATGCACACATGTAAATGAATAACATAGCAGTTTTTTTTTCTACTTTTCAATGTAAAATACAGCTTCTGTAGTCACCTTTTGGTCATTTGGATTTTTTCAGTGTTTGACTTATGTAAAAATCTTTTGTAAATATTGTGATTCCTTTATAATTATTCAGTTTTAATTAGGTCCAAGCATAAGAACTGCCTTCTACTTGTAAAAGTATGTATATTCTGCAGTAATAGAATTCAGTATTCTATGAATATGATTTAGATCAAGAAAGGTGAAAATAGTGTTTACATTTTCTATATATTTATTGATTTGATTGATTGATTAATTGGTTTTCCATAGCACTTCTATGGGACCTATGGAGATTAAAATCATCACTGTTACTATGAACTGTTTCTTTAACGCTGTGAATGTTTGCATTAAGTATTTTGAGGATTAACCAAAATACTTAGTGCTGCTATAACCAAAGATCACAAACAATTGCTAAAAACAGCAAATTTATTATTTTACATTTCCAAAATTACTATTCTGAAATGATGTCCACTGGGGTAAAATCAAGTATTATTAGGGTTGTTTACTACCTGGCAAATGTAGGGATGAACCCATTTTTTTTTTCCAGTATCTATAATCTGCCCACATTCCTTGGTTCATGTTCCTCTTCCATCTCCAACGCCAGAAATAGTAGATTAAGTCTTTCACATCGCTTGAAATGAACGCTGCTTCCCTCATTATCTTTGTATCTTACACTTCCTGTCATTACATTTGCCCTACTTTGAATAATTTACAATAAAATTCTCAATACAATATACTAATTTAATCATGCTACAAAGTCCCTATTGTCATTTAACATGCCTACAGGTTCTGATGATTGTATGTGAATGTGTTTAGGGGGTCATTTTTCTCTCTGCCATATATGACTTCCTCATGAATTACTCTTTTTAACATCTTTAACCTGAAGTAATCTACCTGATACAAACTCTCTTTTACTTACTAGCTTATGTGGTTTATATCATCAATTTAATTTATATGTGCTTATATTTCTATGTTAACTTATAATATGTGTTTTTAGACCACATATGATAAAATGCAACCTTTTCTGACACTGTCATCAGTTACCTTATAATTTGAGTACATAAGCCCAAGGTCACAAACCAATCAGGTAATGTTTTAGATTGCTTTGGACCTTATATGGTGGTCTGTGTCACACATAAACCAGTTTAAAATCTTGTCACATGTTTCCTCTTCTAAGCCATTAACAAGAAAGCACCATCCTTAACTGTAAGTGCTACATATAAGAGGTTTTTAGGGTAGAATTTGGCACTAGGTCATAATTTGTGAACCAGCAGTTTAAACTATTAAGTTTAAAGAGATACTGATATGATGTCATTAGAGTCTGTTTGTTTCTGCCTTTTCCATTCTGTTAATTTATACTATTCTGGCATTTCCTGCCATCTTTTGAGTTGTTGAGAAAAATCTAATAATTTACTTCCACTTTGGCAATATCTGTATTTTTTGTTTGTTTTTATTTTCTTCTGCTTAAGTGTTTCTTAGGGACAATGATATACAAATCTAACACTTCAGTCTATAGAATTAAAAAGTAATACTTTAAAGATTGAAATATTTTAATCTTCTTTTTTACTCTTTTTTTTTTGAGTATATTTGTTTAGGGTAAAGTCTGCTAATTTTCCATCAGAAAATATTCTCCTGCATTTTTACTGAAGGGTCTATTTCTTAAAAAGAAATAGAAAGAATTGTTTGACATTATTTTTAGATGTTGGCCTATGATTTTGCAATCTCATTCCTGCTAAAAAAAATCCATGGCAACTTGAATGATTGGTTTTTATCTGCCATAATCATTTTTTCCTTTCCTTTTATTGATGTGATCTATCACACATTTTTGTATGAACAACCCTTAATTATCTGAAATAAACCCCAATAATCAAATGTACTGTTGAACTGGTTTTTGCTGCTATTTTGTTGAGGAGTTCCACATCTCTGTTCCTCAGAGGTATTAGCCTGAAGTATTTTGGGTTTTCTCCCTGATATTTTTGTCTAGCTTCAAAATCAGGATACTTCCTACATAGTATGTATTTGGAAGTTTTCCCTTATCAATTTTTTTGGATATATTGAACAGTAAAAGTGTTAATTCTCTGGAAATCTGGTAGAATTTACCAATGAAATTACATGTGCTTCTGAGCTTTTTTTTTTTTTTAAATGGGAGTGTCTTTCTTTTCTGTCTTCATATGTCTTTAAGAATTTATTTCTTCTAGATTTTTAATCTGTTACAATATTATTTTTAATAAAACCTTTTCATATCCATTGTGTTTCTAGTAGTATCTGCTGTAATTTCACTTCATTCTTTTCTTTCTTCTTTTTTTGTTATGACTAAAACCCTGTATGTTTTAATAATTTTTAGAGAGAACAGCTCTGTATTTCATTGATCGTTATTTTGTTTACTTTACCAAGTTTTTATTATTTCTTTCCTTCTACTGATATTTGGTTTTGTCTTTCTTGTTTTTCTAGTTCCTTTAAGTGAAAGCTTAGGATAGTATTTGTGATACTTCCTGTCTCTTGAGGTAGGACTTTATTACTACAAACTTCCTTCTTAGTACTCTTTATTTGCCATATCCCATAAATTCTGGTAAGTCGTGTCTTCATTTTGTGTTCATGCTTTGTTTTCTTTTTAGTTTCAACTTTGATTTTATTGTTGACCCAATAGATTTTTCAATGGGGTATTACTTCCACATTTCTGATTTCCTCTTTCTTCCTTTGGTTGACTTCTGATTTTGTCCTACTTTGATAAGATAATACACTTGAACTAATTTCCATCTCCATTTTGTTGAAACAGTGTTTTATCCCGGTATACAATCTATCCTTCAGAATGTTCCTGAACATATCAGGTGAAATGAATAAGGAATAAGGAATAAGGAATAAATTTCCTTATTCCTTGAATAAGGAAATAAAGAGAACCATGAATTAAAAAACAAAACAGCTGTCATACCATCAATATACTCAATAATGCAATCAATGGTCATATCAATAAGCATCCAAAATATAAATGACGTGAACTCACCACTCAAAAGATGGAGATTGGCAGGAGAGGATAAAACATAAAATTCAATTATATGTTGCTTATAAAAGACTCACTTAAACTGTAAATACAAACGCTGGCTAAAAATAAAAGAGTGGAAAATAGTACTCTAACCCAATGGAAATTTTTAAAAATCAGGAACCTCTGCATTTGTATAAATAAGATATTCAGCCAAAAATGATAGCAAAAGACAAATATGGATGCTATGTAATGATACAGGGATCAAATATTAACATATATGTACCCAACACAGCAGCACCAGAATATATAAGGCAGGATATAAGCAAAGCTGAAGGGAGACATTGGCCATCAACACAATAATGGTAGGAAACTAACTCCTCCCGCCTTTATGTATAGGTCACCCATACATAAAGTCAAAAAGGAAGCAGTGGTTTTAAGTGACAAAATAGACAAAAATCAACTTAAAAGGTATACACAGGTAATTTTACCCCAAAATATTTTCTAATTTAGATTACTGAGTCTACCAAGTGAGGTTTTTTAAAGATTTTTTTTTTTAAATTTCTGCACGCAGAACTGGGGTACAGGCCAGAGGTACAAGGGCGGTGGTAGGATTCATCAGAGACAGAGTGGGGAGCAGAACAGGCTGACTGATGAAATACACGGCTGAGGGGAGCTGC